GCTGACCCTGAACACCCAGACCACAGTGGGGCACTTCTGGCAGTGGGGAGGCCACGGTGCTCGCCGGTGCTCACCTGCAGGCGTACTCCACGGTGTAAATGGCTCCCTGGCTCTGCTCCTCCCACCGCTGCATGTCAGCCTGTGGAGGGTGGGGAGCTGTGAGCAGCACTGGCTGTTACCTCCTGCCTCCCGGTTCTTGGGAATGGAGCGCCGGAACGCCAGTCACCACAGCTGCTGAGACCCGCCCCCTCCAGACCCAATCTTTCCTCCGGCAACTCCCACCCCTCCCGTCTGGGCTTTCTGTGAACACGTGGCAACTATGCCTCAGGACCTCTACACAGGCTGTTCCCTCTGCCTGACATATCCTTCCCTTGGGTCCTCATGTGGCTGCCTCCTTCTCACCACATGGGTCACAGCAGACACAGCACCTTCTTCTTCTTCCAAATCCACCCCAGATGTATCCATGCAGCCCCAAGCTGGGTCAGTGACCATGCACCTCCCTGCTCATGTCCCGGCCTTGACTCCTGCACCAACAGGAGTTGTGCTCCCTGCTCCACCTAGCAGGCCCCAGCTCACAAGATGCAGACTCTGGGAGAGGTCAGTCGCTAGGATAGGACACTTACCTTGTGCTGGGCCAACTCAGGCAGAGAGCGGCGCACGTGCTCCTGCAGCCGGTACAGGGCCACAGACGGCTCATTGGCCAGGACGTAGACACTCTCGGTGAATTTGTCAGTAACTGGGTCCAGGATGGACAGTTGGCAAAGTGGGGCCGGTGGGGAGAGGGAGATAGGGTTGACAGGTGACCAAGGAGATAAAGCATTAGATTCCTGATTGCTCAACCCGTGAGTCCACCCAGAGTAGAGGAGAGCCCAGCAACCCTCCCAGCTGGGTCACCTGTGGCCCTGGTGATGGCTTGCAGGTGATCACAGCAGAGCCAAACAACTCCATCTGGGAGTCACAGAAGGGCCTCAGTCTTGATGACATTAATGTATCCAGTGAATTCATGATCCTTCCCTTCCTAAACCTACTTGCTTGCTGCCACCCACTCAAATCCACTCACATTTCATTTACCTGTGACAAAATCAGAGATTCTTCTTCAGATGCCCACTGGCTACTGGACCCAAAACTGCCTGCAAGTTTACATGGGTGGATGGTTCCAGGCCATGACTGACCACCAAGGGGGAGGAAAGTCCACAACCCATGCTGAGTGCCTGAACAACTCAAGAAGTGTGACTCATCCCCATAAGCTCCCCTGTGGGAATAGACCGTGGCTCCCCTCTGCAGGATTCTACCTGAGGTTGCTGCTTGCTCACCCTCCTTCCTAACCCTGTTCTATTTCCCCCTCTCCTCTGTGGGGCTCTCTTAGTAAGTTAATTAAAGACAACTCCTCATCCCAGGGTCTGCCTCAAAAACAGCAGCCAGATGGTGGTCCCTGCCCTTCCTACCCCATCAATGAGCAGCTCCTGCTTGTTCGGTCACAATACAAAGGCCCAAACTCACCCACTTTTACCACTGCACTGCCCTTACTGGTCCAGGCATAGCTGTCTCTCACCTAGATCCCAAACTTAGCTGCTCCCTGGTCTCCCTGCTCCCCCTCCTGCCAACAATCCAGTCCCCACAAAACAGATGAGATGAGCTCCTACTAGACAGATCAGATGGGTCTCTCCCTTGGTTGAAACACTCCCGTGACTCCCATCAGCCAGAGAAGCAAATCTGCCTTGCTTCATATGGACCAGAAGGCTCTGCATTTTCTGTTGCTCTTACCACTCCCCCCCCACCCCCCACCGCCTGCCTGGCCCTCTGCCCCAGGCACAATGGCCTCACGGCTTTCCATGGACATTCAGCACTGTCCACAAGAACTTCCTGAGATGATGGAAGGACTCTATAATCTATACTGCCCAATATGGTAGTCACTAGTCATATATGACTACTGAGCACTTGAAATGTGACTCAGAAGCTGAATTTTAAATTTTACCAATTTTAATTAATTTAAATATGAATAAGTACTGTGACTAGTATTGCAGCACAGCTCTGAACACTTTGCCACCTCAAGGCCTTTGTACTCAATCCCTCCAATGACACTGCTTCCATCCCCACCTCTCATTTCCCTTCACCCCTCATGTCTCAGCTCAAATGTTACCTCCTGGCGTTCCCTGATCACCAAGCTTAATCAGATGTCCCTTCAACCTCACTCTCAACCTCAGAACTTTGTTCATTTCCCTTATACTTAAATTCTTAATCTTTTTTAAAATTTTACATTGGAGTATAGTTGACTTCCAATGTTTTGTTAGTTCCAGGTGTAAAAGGTCTCATTCTTTATTTGGTTATGTTTATTTAAAACTTGGGATTTGTGAGGGCAGAAGTATTTCTGAGCCTCAGTTTTCTCATCTGAAAAAATGGGAGGATAACAGAACCTACCTCAAGGTTTGCTACAGAGATGGACCCCATCCCACTGCCCAGGACAGTGCAGTTAGTGAGGGAGAACCCATTGGTGTCTGGGAGTCAGGGGAGGCTGTGCTTGAGACTGTCCGGTTTGGGTTTGCCCAGCTCACCACTGTGCCCTGACTCAAGCAGAGCCCAGCCTGCCACCTCCAAACTGTATGTCCTCTTACCCTCTTAGGGCTCCCCCTTTTGAAACTGAACACAGTGGTTAACAGCTTACACCTCACAGTGCTGTTAGGAAGGATGTGGAATTAAATGTACTTGTGACGTCTAAATAATTAACTAGCAGTGATGTATGTAACAAATTAACAACGACATTGACACTTTAAAAATAAGCTAGTGGCGTTTTGTAACTTGTAACTATGTGATTTCAGTTCAGTCGCTCAGTCGTGTCCGACTCTTTGCGACCCCATGAATCGCAGCACACCAGGCCTCCCTGTCCATCACCAACTCCCGGAGTCTACCCAAACCCATGCCCATTGAGTCGGTGATGCCATCCAGCCATCTCATCCTGTGTCGTCCCCTTCTCCTCCTGCCCCCAATCCTATGTGATTTACAGGTATGTAAATATATACAACTGGAGAAGTGCACAGCAACCCACGTCAGTATCCTGGCCTGGAGAATCCCATGGACAGAGGAGCCTGGTGGGCTTACAGTCCATGCGGTCCGGAAGAGTCGGACACGACTGAGCGGCAGAACAACAACAACATATATACAAATGCTTAAACACAAAGGAAACAGTACACACAACTGCCACGCCCCTGGCATTCTTCCAGTGTTTTACACATTGTTTTACCATATCACGTTACTGAATTCTCAAAACAATTTTATGGGGGGCGGGGGGAGGCTGGGAGACTATTATACTCCCCATTTTACAGATGACAAAACCGAGGCACAGTGTCTCTAAAGGTTTCAAAACTAGTCAGCGGTTGAGCCGGGGTTTCTTGGCAATTCAATCACTGCCCCCAAACGCTCCCTCAGCGCCGTGGCCCCCCGTCACCCGCTTCAGATTGCCCTTCTATGAGTCCTTGGCCCCTCCGCCCCGCCCCGCGTCGGGCCCCACACCACCTTTCTTCCCCTTGAGCTGCATCTCGGGTTCTTCCATAGTAGCCACGGCCCTATTCCGAGGACCGGAACCGGAAGTCTGGAGGTAGAGACAACAGCCTAAACTTTCCCTACGAAACTGGACGCCGCGCTTATCCAGTTCCGGTACTAATTGGTCTTCCCTTCTAGATTTAGTCAACCCAGACAGAAGGGCCGTGAGTGAGAGATTGGGGAAAGAGGCAATCGGGAGGTGAGTGAAGAGGGGCCGGAGACCCCTTGAAGCTCCAGGAGGGACGCTCAGTCGGAGAAGGGGCATGGGTGCCCACCTTTACCGAACCCCTTTTCCAGAGGTAGACATACTGGGGAAATACTCCATGCACTTGTACCCCACTGCTGCCACCAAATCCCTGCAGAGGGCCTTGAGCCCCTACGCCTGCATAGGAGATACTGTTACGGAAGGGGGCAGCACTGGTGGAGCCCCTCGCGCCCCCCTACTAAAGAAAGCCCAGCCCCTCCGTCCGAAGGCGGAACCGATTGGCTGCGTCAGGAAAAATGTGTGGGCGGAGTCAGGGGTGAGGGCGGACGAGGGCCGTGAACTCGGGAGAGAGAGTCCTCTGAGGCCCCGCCCATCCCTCCCGACCCTACCAGGCTCCTTCCAGGGCGGCGGGGACGGGAACGCGCAGGCGCAATTGCATAATTCTTGCCCTGCGGAAGCCACGGCCCTCCCCCAAGCCTTAAAGGGCCCGAAATCGCTCCTACTGCTCCAGCCTTTTCGCACTTTTGCCGGGGGAGGGGGTGCGCAGGCGCAGTGGGAGAACTCGGGGTGGGGGTAGCGGTCGCGTATCAAGTTGCTCTCGTCCCAGCAGAAGCAGGCAAGGCGCAGACAGTACAGGCTCCATCTTGCTGCCCCTTGCATCAGTTGGAAGAGAAAAGTTTGTGAGTTGCGCCCCCAAGTTTGGGGGTACCCTGACTCGCGGCGTCGGGTGGCAGAGGAGGCTAGCTGGAGGTGAGTGGACCTGATGGATTGGCTTGGGAGGGGCGGGTGGGATGCAGCCAATCACATCTTTGTTGAGCCCTCGCTCATTCTAGCGATTTTCCCCCTCCCCCAAAAAACAGCAGATATTTATTAAGGTCTGCCCGGGTATCAGTCCTCCTGCTCAGATATTTACAGACATGATTTTTTTAGGCCTCATTTCCCCATTTTTTTAATGAGGAAACTGAGGCTTAGAGAAATTAAGTCAGATGCCCAAGCATTCACAGCGTATAAGTGGAGGGATTCAGACAGCCGACCCCAGAGCCAGGGCTTTTAAGCAATGCCTGTTGTGTGTGCTCTGGTGGTGGGGAGGAGTGGGTCCAAGAAGTCCAATAAAACGACTCTGGTTTTAATTTTCTGGCTGAGTCTGAGTTTACCCACCCTTACTATGTAAGGCCAGGTATGTAGTCAGTGCCTGCTTAATGAATTGTTGATAATTATTGCCATCTCTCCCTGTTTGGCCCTTCCACTAGCTTTACCCATGGAGCACACCCAGCCTGCCGAGGATCTCAGCCTGATCCAGCAGCCTTCAACCCCAGAATTTGGGGACCCCGAAGACCCCAGGGACGATTCCCCTGACGGCTCAGACACTGTGGTCCTCAGTCTCTTCCCCTGTACCCCGGAGCCTGGGAATCCTGAGCCAGATGCTGGCAGTTCCTCACCTCAAGGTAGGATACTTCCCCTGGACTCCTGCTTCTGGGATGCAAGATCGGTGACATGTCAGGCCCAAGATGAGACTTCTGTCTTTGTGTCCCGTCACCTTGAATGTGTCTTCCCTCTCCACCCTGTGAGGGATTGCTTTTGGATTGTTTTCTTTTTTTTAAATTGTGGTAAAATGCACATAACATAAAATTAGCCATTTTAACTGGAATTGCTTACAATTCAGTGGCAGTAAGTGACCGTGGTGTGTCACTTCGACATCTTTGTAGTTCTAGAACACTTCCATCACCCCAAAAGGAAAACCCCAGAGGTATTAGCAGTCGCTTCCCATCCACTTCTTCCAGCCCCTGGCAACCAAAATCTGCTTTCTGTGCCTATGGACTTGCCTGTTGTGGACATTTCCTATAAATGGGTTCATATAACATGTAGCCTTTTCTGTTTGACTCCTTTCACTCAGCATGTTTTTAAGGTTCACCTGATTGTAATGTGTGTCAGTACTTCATCCCTTTTATAGCTGAATAATCTTCCATAGTATGGAAGGACCATATTTACTTTATTCATTCACCCCTTGATGGACATTTGGGTTGTTCCTCTATTAGTGAGTGAATAACGCTGCTGTGAACATGTATGTTCATGTTCAATTTTTGTCTGAACATGTGATTTCAACTCTTTGGGGAGTACCATGCTAGGTCAAGTGATAATTCTATGTCTGACTTATTGAGCACTCAAGGATTTCTTTTGACGGGAATCTTTCGAGAGTGTGACACGATCCCCCTGGGGCCTTTGCCCCTGCTGTTCCCTGTGTGAAATGCTCTTCCTGCACCTCTCCCCAGGTTTCTTCAACTGGCCAAGCTCACAGTTGGGCCTCTTTAGAGTGGCCCTCTCTGACCACTTTCTCTGAAAGGGACTCACCCCCTGCCCTTCCTTCTTTCTGCCCCTCTTCCACCTGCTTTTCATTTCTCCTGAGCCCATATTTCAGCTTAAGCTTTCATTCTATTTCTGTTTCTGTCTGACTCCCTGGCTTGTCCATGTGATCTTGAGGGCAGAAACTTTGTGCAGAACCTTGTCAGGATGGAGGAGAAATATACACCCTGGGCATCTGAGAGGGTGGAGTGAGTGGACAGTGGAGCCAGGCACTGCCTCTGGTAGTTCCAAGCCCCCAGCTGCTGCTGCTGAGTCGCTTCAGTCGTGTCTGACTGTGTCTGACTCTGCGCAACCCCATAGACCGCAGCCCACCAGGCTCCCCCATCCCTGGGATTCTCCAGGCAAGAGCACTGGAGTGGGTTGCCATTTCCTTCTCCAGTGCATGAAAGTGAAAAATGAAAGTGAAGTCACTCAGTCGTGTCCAACTCAGCGACCCCATGGGCTGCAGCCTACCAGGCCCTCCGTCCATGGGATTTTCCAGGCAAGATTACTGGAGTGGGTCACCATTGCCTTCTCCACCAAGCCCCCAGGGTCTGGCCTTAAAACCCAAGACATACTGAGGGGAAACTGAGGCCCTTTCTCTCTCTCCCAGCAGGCAGCTCCCTGAAGCACTCAACGACCCTCACCAACCGGCAGCGGGGCAATGAAGTGTCGGCCCTGCCAGCCACCCTGGACTGTGAGTGGGCCCCTGGTCCCCAGGGGAGAGAAGCGGTGGGTGGCAGGGGCTGGGAGGAGCGACTTTGGATGGGGAGTGAACGGAGTACTGGAGCAGAGATGGGACAGGTGTGGACTCTGCCTCTCTTTGGCCCCTAGCCCTGTCCATCCACCAGCTCGCAGCGCAAGGGGAGCTGAGCCAACTGAAGGAGCATCTGAGGAAAGGTGTGTGCCCACACGCGTGTGCCAGTGTGACTTCACCCACTGGTGTGTGTGTGTGGCTGCTGACATGACCTGAGCCTCCATGTGTGTGCCTGTGTCTGTACGTGTGCCTGTGCATGTCCACACGTGTCATCCACATGTATGCCTCCCTGCCCCACACCTGACCCCAGCCGCCCACCCCACCCCCAGTTCCGCAGCCTTGGGGAGTGGGCAGGGGTACATCCCAGTGGTACCACCCCCCTCCTGCCAGGCGACAACCTCATCAACAAGCCAGACGAGCGCGGCTTCACCCCCCTCATCTGGGCCTCCGCCTTTGGAGAGATCGAGACTGTCCGCTTCTTGCTCGAGTGGGTGCGTCCCAGCCCAGCTGGGGGCTTCCTGAGGACTGGAGGGCGGGCAGCGGTTTCAGCTGAGTCTGCTGGGCCGTGTCTGTAAGATGGAGCTAACATGGGGGCCCCAGGATTGCAGAGGCTGCCCCCACCCTCCCTCTGCCCTGGCTCTGTCACTGCCCCCTCTGCTTTTCCCAGGGTGCTGACCCCCACATCCTGGCCAAGGAGCGGGAGAGTGCCCTGTCACTGGCCAGCACCGGTGGCTACACGGACATCGTGGGGCTTCTGCTAGAACGTGATGTGGACATCAACATCTATGACTGGGTGAGGCGCCACCCACTGGCCCTGGGCACCTCACAGGGTACCAAGTCTTTTCGGGGTGCTGAGACCCATCCCCAAGCCTCATAGAGCTACCAGTTTTGTTTTTGTTTTGTTTTTTTTGAGGGGTTTAGCTGACACATAAACAGCTCAGATATAGTAGACAGAGCTGAGGCCGCCTGTAGAGCCAAGGGAAGTCAGGGTGGGCTTCCTGGAAGAAGCAGTATTTAAACTGAGATCCAGAGAATAAGCTAGGTGGGCCAAGTGACCAACAGGAGGAGGAGCCACATTAAATTGGAAGGTGTGGGGGTTCATGAGAATCTGGAAGAGATGGTGTCAACTGTCTGACAGAATGGAGGAACGCCACTGCTGTACGCTGTGCGTGGGAACCATGTGAAGTGCGTGGAGGCCTTGCTGGGTGAGTGGAGTAGAGGCTGGCCCTGCAGGAATCCTGACGGCCAGGGGAGGGTCTGAGCTCTGCCTGAACTGCTCTTAGGATGGGTAAGAGCTTTCTCCTGGAGGACTGAGGTGGGGACAGGAGGTGGCAGGAACAGCACAGGGGTCTGACTGACTGGGTTGAGCACACACACTCTGCATACCTCAGAGACCCTGGAGGTGGAGATTCCAGTGGCCACACTGATCAGAGGTCAGGCTCTTGTCCAGGGCCACACAGCTACCAGCAGACCTGTGGCTGCGTGGTGGGTAGTCCCTGCACCTCCGCACCCCACCCAGGCTCCTGGTCCCCAGCCCAGCCTCCTCTGCAGCACCTGTTCTGCTTTGCAGCCCGAGGAGCTGATCTCACCACTGAGGCAGACTCCGGCTACACCCCGATGGACCTCGCCGTGGCCTTGGGATATCGGAAAGGTTGGCCTGAGACACTTGGAGGCAGTGTCAGGGTGCTGGAGGTGGGATAATCCACAGCAGGGTGCATGGGACATCCCTTTTGGATGTCAGATGCTAGCAGCGAAAGTGTTCATGTCAGCAAACATCAGGTGCTGGTGTGTACTTGGCCTGGGCATGTACTAGTCCCAGCTCTCGGGGCTCCCCATATACTGGGGCAGGAGGCCAATGTGTATCAGTGACAGGGGCCGTAATGGAGGGACATGCAGGCACTGAGAGATCCAAAGGAGGCCCCAGAGGGGGCGAGGATACCAGGAGGGCCACAGTGCGCATGGCCATGGAGACCAGCCCCCTCCATGGCAGGAAGTGGACGTGAACAGGGGCTGGAGACAGACCCCCAGTTTGACTCCCTACTTCAGAAAATGGGGAGATTCTAACAGAACTAACCCCTGGGATCATGGGGGTGGTGCATGGGAAATATCCCATTCCATCCTTCCTTGATGGAGTTTCAGTCCATTTGAGAAAGTTCCAGTTTGCCAATTTTGTTGGGTAAGGAATATTTTAACCTCCAAAAATGCATTTTTACAAACTTCGGGGAAATTGAGGTTCCTAGGGTAGGGGCCTGTCTTCCCAGCTGTTCTCTGGCAAGGATCTGATCTACTTGAGGAGGAAATGGGTCCTCCATCCAGGCCCCAGGGCTGAGGCCCCTGCTCACACCCTGAGGGGAAGGTACAGGTTGGCCTGTATCTTTGCAGACACTGTTCAGTTCATGGCCCACCTCTCGCCTGTTCTGTTTCCAGTGCAACAGGTGATCGAGAACCACATCCTTAAACTCTTCCAGAGCAACCTGGTGCCCGCCGACCCCGAGTAAACATCGCCCACCAAGGACTCAAGACACTCAGGGAACAAAATGGTTGACCCAGAGCTGGGGGAACCCAGAACCGGCTTCAAAGGCAGCTCCTGGACAGACGGTGGGAGGGGGCCCTTTCCAAGAGGAACCAATAAACCTTCTGTGCAGAACTTGGAAGGACTTTGCTGTGCTTCTTGGAGGAGGCAGCCACTCAGCAGCCTCACACCTTCTTCTTCCCTAGCACACGTAGGTGATAGATGACCACTCGGCCAAAGAAATCAGTGGTGTCCTCAAACGTCACCTTCAGCCGGTCCACCTCAGCAGGTGGCACTGGGAAGGTGTAAGCAGAACAGTCAAGGGAAACAGATTTCTTTTATCTTTTCCCACCCGCCAGCCCCAGCTCAGATACATCCACCATGCTGGGTGACCCAGCAGACTGTTGGCCCCTCAGAAGCTCTCGCACAGAACAGACTGTCATGAGCCCATTTTACAGGTGAACCAGTGGAGACCTAGAGGCCACTTGCCCAAGGTCACCTGCCAGGGCCCACAGCTTTCAGAGGCGCAGATCACCCCACCCAGCAGCTGAAGCAGGATATCTGAAGTGAGTTGTTGTCCTCAGGGTAAAAATCCACAATCTTGCTAAGAGCCTCACTCCCCAGAGAACCTGCAGCAGGGAAAGAAGCAGTGAGGCAGCGAGCCCTCTCTAGTCCCCCACTTTCCAGTGTTTTCAAGTACCTTCCAGGCGGCCCTGGCGACTGGAGAAGCCCCCCTGGAACTGGATCTGCAGCTGGGAGACACAGACGCACTGGGGAAACTCCAGTGTTACCCACTGGGAGGGACCCTGGAAGCAGACAGAAAAGGAAAGGCCCGTGAGCACTTCATACGCAGCCATGCTATGCCTGTCCCTCTCACTGACAGTCCATGAGGGGTGGGGAGCACAGTGTGAGCATAGGTTCCCTTCCTGGCCAATCTGCCCAGCTGGGGAGCCCCCTGGTTCTCAGGGGACACTAGACCCCTAATGATTTGTTTTGGTGGTGCAGCACAGCTTGTAGGATCTTAGTTCCAAAGTCAGGGATTGAACCCGCACGCTCAGGAGTGAAATCACAGTCTCTCAACCACTGGATCAACGGGGAATCCCTCAGACTCCGCGCCCTGATTCTGAATCATACTAGGGGTGGATTCCAGGAGAGGGTGCCTCACCTGGTCCGAGTTCCAACACGTCTCCTCGTCCTGGTCGAAGAGGTGCTTCTTGCCAAACTGCCTAGTGTTCCGATTCAGCACCGAACTCACCCTAAACGGAGTCGCAGCGTGGAGAGGTGCTGAGCACCGCGGCGAGGGTTCGCCTACTACCTGGCTCACCCCTCCCTCACCACTGGTTCCCTCATTTCTGTCTGCCCCTTAGGACTAGACCCCAGGCCTAGGGCCTCGTCCGCCACTGCCCGCCCCCGTTCACACCCCACCCCTGCCCGGGGCTCTCACCTGCTCACTGTCGCTGGACAAACCAAAGAGTGGGTCATCTCGGTTCCACAAAGCCTCGCAGGACTCAGGGCTGGGCTCAGTCCAGGTCGAATCCAGGCCCCTGAGCGCGGCCCTGTTCACGCCTCAGAATCTACGCGTCCTCACCTATAGCGCGGCACAAGATCCGTCACTGCCCGGTCTCTCCAGGCCTAAATGTCGCCTTGACCAACCAACCCCTTGCTGGAAAAACCTGGAGTTTCGGAGACTCTGCTAACGACCCCAGGCCAGGCCTTTCACAGTGGGTGCAAGGAAGGTAAATAGGTTTCCTATCGGTTTAGGGAGCGGTCGCTCCTTCTCGGAGCCTCAGTTTCTCTCAAACTGCTTTCGGAACCAAAAGCAAGACCCGGAACCGCGTGAAAGCCGCGCAGGCGCGCCCAGCCCGTGCGCCCGGGGCGTGGTTTAATTTACCCCGCCCCTCAGTGCCTGCCTCTTAAAGGGCCCTGATCCAGTGATTGCGGGCTTCCCTGCTGGCTCAGTGGCGAGGAATCCTGCTTGCAATGCAGGAGACGTGGGAGACGTGAGTTTGTTTCCTGGGTTGGGAAGATCCCCTAGAGAAAGAAATGACAACCAACTCCAGTATTCTCGCCTGGGAAATCCCAGGGGCAGAAGAGCCTGGAGGGGTACAGTCCAGGGGGTCGCAAAAGAGTCAGACACGACTTCCCTGGTGGCTCAGATGGTAAAGAATCCACTTGCAATGAGGGAGACCTGGGTTCGATCCCTGGGTTGGGAAGATGCACTGGAAAAGGGCATGGCAACCCACTCCAGTATTCTTGCCTGGAGAATCCCATGGACAGAGTCCATGGCGGCAAAGAGTCGGACATGACTGAGTGACTGAGAGCAGAGCACAGTAACTAAACAACAACAAGCTGAAGCTGGAGATGCTTGCTAGAGGAGGCGCCTTCCTTCCCTAGGACTTCCCCAAGGCCAGCCCTGCAAGGAGACAGGCAGTGGCATTTCCTACTTCGGTGGAAAACAAGAGGACCATGGATTTCTACAAGCAAGCCCCTCCAATCTGGAGGGAAAATGCAGGTATCTAAAGCAAGTGTGTGCCTACTGTGGGGTGCAGGGGCTGTCCTTTGGTACCTGCGGGTATAAAGCACTAGTTTTAGAGTGCAAGAGACTTCTTATAATGATGTCTTCCCACCAGTAGAACGAAGTCTGCCAAGTTCATTCCCTAACTGCAGAAGGATTCTTTAAAAAAAAAAAAAAAAGGATTCTTTACTGTCTGAACCACCAGGGAAGTCATGTCTGACCCTTTTGTGACCCCCTCCAGGCTCTTCTGTCCATGGGATTTCCCAGGCAAGAATATTGGAGTTGGTTGTCATTTCTTTCTCCAGGGGATCTTCCCAACCCAGGAATCGAACTCACATCTTCCATGTCTCCTGCATTGCAAGCAGGATTCTTCACCACTGAGCCAGCAGGGAAGCCCACAAACCTGGGAATCCCTGCACTTCACTGCTTCCCAGAAGCCGAAGGAAGAGTTGAGGAAGAAGCCATGATGGTGCGAGTACTGGGCGTCTTTATCAGCCTCGTGTGTCACCACTGGAACACAGGAATCCTGGCTTCCAAATCTGTCTTCATCCTAAATGCTGCCTGTGACAGGATTCTTGGAGGAGGGGTAATGTGAGGTGGGTTTTGAAGGATGAAGAGGAGTTTGCCAAACTGGATTATACAAAGCCTCAGATACATGACTAAAGTTTTGGTTCACTGATTCAGTAAACAACTCCTGCCACTCCCTACTGCCCAGCCCTGTGCTGAGAGGTCTCAGTTCCAGCCCCATATCTGAAGATCTCCCAATCTGGGGAAGAAAGAACTAGAAACATACAATCCCAGCCCCACGGGACCAGAGCTGAGCCAGAGGGAGAGATGAGGCTGGGGAAGTAGAGGGTCTACCTGCGGGAGGGCTTCCTGGGAGAGGGGATAGTGTGCCTGTACCTTATTGAGTGGGCAAGAATTCACCAAGGTGAGAAAAATTGGAATGGGGAGGTGGATGGGAAGGCAGAGTGAAAGCATAAGCAAAGGCCTGGTTGAATAAAAGACCATGAATTTGAATAAAATATGTAAGTCCAGATCCTGCTGGGCCTAAAGCAGTCAAGAAAGGTGTTTGAGAAAGGCGGTACACCATCCAATCCGTGTGAATGGAGACTTCTGGACAGAGCAGCCACTGGCAAGAGGCTGCAGTTCCTGGCTTTAACTGAATGGTCTGGGATCCAGCCCCTTTCTTCAAGGGCTAGGGGAATGGTCCTCCTGGCATCCTACTAATGTCTGACCAAGTCCACAGCAGGAGTGGGGGCTGGCTGGGAAACTGGGACATCAGCGGAAGGGCCACCCCATCAGCCCCTGCCGGCCAGGACTTCCTGCATTCAGTCATGACCTCGTGCCATCCAGACCTGGCTCTGCTGGTCTGAGGGCCAGGGCCAGTGTGGGGCGGGGGGGGGGGGGGTGGGGAGGGGGCTGGTATCAAAAAACACCTCCCTACCTCTAGAGGAATTTAGGAAGAGTATGGACCCTGGAGAGTCCAGATCAGGTTCAAATCTTGGTTAGGCCATTCACTCATTGGCTGTGTGATCTTGGACAAATACGTTGAGCTCTCTGAGCCAGTTTCCTTATCTGTGAAATTAAGAGAATTCTATTTACAGGACTACTAGACAATTCAGTGGACTCTTCAGGCTGACATGTAACAACAGTGGTTGACATTTGTTGAGCACCTACTCCGTGTTTAACTTGAAGCCACGTCTGTCTCCATACACTAGATCATTAAATCTGTGTCCTTGTCACTCCCATTTTACATCTAAGGATACAGCCGCTCAGCCACTCAGCAGCCAAGGTTCCCCAGGGAGGATATGCACAGCCCCAAGGCCCCCTTACCACTCCTGGTCTTGGCATGAAGCCACCATGCCCACTGGGATGAAGCCAGCTTCATACCCTCTTCCCGCCTCCTCACCCCACCGGCGCCTGGGCATGAAAGAACCTCCTGTTTCTCCAGGGAATTAGCAGCTCTAAGCTCCCAGCAGGGCAGCCAAAAGTGGTCCATTCATTTGCCTTAGTGAGAAGAGACTAATCACTCCCTCCTTCCTCACCCCAGGGGGTGGGGCAGAGGGAAGTTTAGAAGAGCCAGGAGCTGTAACTCTGGTTGGCTGAGGGAAACTGAGGCAAAGAAGTCATTTATGTAAGGTCACCCAGGGGAACTGGGATGCAAACTTCAGTCTCACTCTAGAGTTGAGCTGAGTTCAGCATTTTTCAGGAGAGGAAATGGAGGCTCAGAGAGGGTCATGGATTTGCTGAAATCACACAGCAAGTATGGGTCAGCAAGGATTCTGGGGAGGCAGCCACCCTCAAGGCAGAAAACAGGTCCCACTTCCCATAAGTTTGTCACCCTGGAGTAGGGCAGGGAAAAGCCCTCAGGTTGCTTTGAGCTTCAGTTTCCCCCTGGGGCATAAGTGTAATGATTGCCCCAAAGCCGCAGCCTGGAGAGTCTGGAGTGAGGGTGATGGAATCCTCTGGTGTTGGCAGCCCTCTGAGGGGCAGACCTGGGTCTGATTTATCCACCGGGGCCTGCGTGGGTGCCTCAGGGCCCAGCTCAGGGTAAAAGGATGCTCACTTGTTTCCGCCAGGACTTGTCGGTCCTGGCAGGAGGTAACCTTGGGAACCTGGGTAAGTGGAGATGACAGTAGGCAGGAGAGGGGGTGGCCACGCATGAAGGGACTGAGCTGAGCTGGCCAGGGAACACCTTGGGCCACAGCTGAGTGTGTTGGGCGGTGAATATGAGTGAGTGTACTGTGAGTACACTCTGGGGGCCTGTCCCCGTGTCAGCGACTTGGTGTCAAGTGGTCTTGACTGGGTGCTGACTGTCTGTAGGTATGCCCATGGCCATAATCATGCTTGGCTGTAAACAACACGGGGCAGATGTGAGCTGTTTGTGGCTGCCAGGAAGGCTAAGTTTCCATGGGTATGCACAGCAACAGTTGTGTTTGAGTGTGAAGGCGCTAGGTGCAGCTGGGCTCAGAGTTGCTAGTTTGGTTGTACCGTGGATATGACATGTGCGTGGCCTGTTGACTTATATGTGGCCTGATCAGGTGTGGCCGGCTGTCACTGTATGTCTGGGATATGACTTCGTATCAGTGGTTGGTAGTGACGTTGTATGTGACAGGTGTGAATATGCTTGCACGTGCCCTGTCGCTATGTCACCTTTGGTGTGTGAGAGGCATTTCAGGGGACAGTGTCTGTTCCTGATGCCTGGCTCTCCTGGAGAGTCCTGCCTCCTAGCTCATTCTCTGGGCAACCAGCCTCCTCCCCTGTTCCCGCCCCCGACTCACAGCAGTCCCTGGCCTAAGACCCAGTGTGGGGGAGACAGAGAGGGCACGCAGGGCTGAGGGTGGGAGGCCGTTGGCCCATTCCCAGTGCAGGCCTATAAATAGCTCTTTGAGCCTAGCAGATTCCCAGGCAAGGCTGCCTCATTCAAGCCCCCAGCAACAGCCTGCTCCCAGGCCCCAGGCCAGTCCCTCTAAGCTCAGCCCTGGCACCAGTGAGGGGAGCCAGGGAGTGGGGAGGAGGGGGGGAGGGAACAATTGGGGGGGTTCACGGTGGGGATTCGCTTGGTTCGGAAGCTGCAGACCTGGTCTCCCACTTGTTCAGAAGCGCAGTCGTGTCCAACTCTTTGTGACCCCGTAGACTGCAGCATGCAAGCTTCCCTGTCCTTCACTATCTCCTTGGGTTTACTCAAACTCATGTCCATTGAGTCGATGATGCCATCCAACCATCTCATCCTGGGTTACCCCCTTCTCCTGTCCTCAGTCTTTCCAGCATCAGGGTCTTTTCCAATGAGTCGGCTCTTCGCATCAGGTAGCCAAAGGATTGGATCTTCAGCTTCAACATCAGGGCTCCCACTTGGCCCCTATCCATACTCTGCAACCTCAGGCAGGTGGTCCTATCTCCCTGAGCCTCAGTTTTCTTGGCTGGAAAATGGGCAGCAGCTTGATAGCAGCTCCCAGCTTGTGTG